TCCCGACATAAAAGAAACAGACTGACTAATTGGATTAAAAAACTAGACCCAATTATATGTGGTCTATAAGAGACTCACCCCACCTATAAAGACATACACAGACTAACAGTGAAAGGATGGAAAAAGATATACCAGACACACAAAAATGGAAAACAAAAAGGAGGAGTAGCTATTCTTATCTTTATCAGATAAAACAGACTTAAACCAAAAACCATAAAAACAGAGAAGGCCACTATATAAAGATAAAGGGATGTATCCAGAAAGAAGACATAACAATCACAAATATGTATGTACCGAATACTGGAGCACCAAGATACGTAAGACAAACACTATTAAACCTATAGAAAGAGATAAACCCCAATACAATAATGGTGGGGGACCTAACACCCCTCTCTCAGCAATGGACATATAATCTAGGCAACAAATCAACAGAGAAACACAGGATTTTAACTACACCCTAACCAACTGAACCTGGCAGATGTCTACAGAACATTTCATCCAACAACTACATAATATGCATTCTTTTTATAAACACATGGAATATTCTCCAGGATCAACCATATATTAGGTCACATACTAAGTTTCAACAAATTTTAAAAAATCAAAATCATTTCAAATATCTTCTCAGACCATAACAGATTAAAACTGGAAATCAATAACAAGTGAAACTCTGAAAACTATACAAATACATGAAAATTAAAAAGCAGGCTCCTGAATAACCTATGCATGAAGAAATTAAGCAGGAAATCAAAAAATTTTTTAAAACTAATGAAAATAAAGACACATTATACCAAAACCTGTTGGATACTACAAAAGCAGTACTGAGAAGGAAATTTATTGCAATAAATGCTTATATCAAAAGAATAGAAAGACAAGACTTCCAATAAACAACCTAACGTTACACCTCAAAGAACTATAAAAACAAGAACAGTCCAATCCCAAAAGAAGAAGAAAGAAATAATTAAGATCAGAGCAGAACAATGAAAGAGACCCAAAAAACAATACAAAAGATTAATGAAACAAAAAGTTGGTTTTTTGAGAAGATAAACAAAACCATCAGCTAGGTTAACAAAAAAAAAAAAAAAAAAGAAGAGAGAAGATCCAAATAAAAAATCAGAAACAAAAAAGAAACATGACAACTGATACCACAGAAATATAAAGAATCATTAGAGACTATTATAAACAACTCTACGCCAACAAATTTGAAAACCTGGAGGAAATGGATAAATTTCTGGATACATACAAACTACCAAGAGAAGATCCAAATAAGAAAAAATCAGAAACAAAAAAGAAACATGACAACTGATACCACAGAAATATAAAGAATCATTAGAGACTATTATAAACAACTCTACACCAACAAATTTGAAAACCTGGAGGAAATGGATAAATTTCTGGATACATACAAACTACCAAGACTAAACCAAGAGAAACAGAAAACCAGAAATGACCAATAACAAGTAATGAAATTGAAGCAGTAATCAGCAGTCTCCCAACAAAGAAAAGCCCAGGACCAGATGACTTTATTGCTGAATTACCAAACCTTTATAGATGAATTAATACTAATTGTCATCAAACTATTCTAAAAAAAACTGAAATAGAAACCACTCTCAGAAACTCATTCTAGGAGATCAGCAACACCCTGATACCAAAACTACACAAAGATACAACAAAAAAAGAAAACTATAGGCCAATATCTCTGACTTACATAGATGCAAAAATCCTCAACAAAATATTAGCAATCAGAATACGGCAATACATGATTAAGTGGGATTCATCCCAGGGATGCAATGATGGTTCAACATACACAAGTCAATAAATGTACAATATCACATTAACAAAATCAAGGACAAAAACCATATGATTATTTCAATAGATGTAGGAAAAAGCTTTTAAAAAAATTCAACATCTCTTCATGATAAAGGCTCTCAGCAAATTAGGCACAAGAGAAAATATCTCAACACAATGAAAGCCATATACTACAAACCTACCACCAATATCATCCTGAATGAACAGGATCAAGATAAGGATGCCCTCTCTCACCACTCCTATTTAACATAGTATTAGAAGTACTAGCCAGAGCAATCAGGCAAGAGAAAGAAATAAAGGGCATCCAGACTGGAAAAGATGGGGTCAAACTGTTCCTGGTTGCAGATGACATTATCTTATATATAGAAAAACTGAAAGAGTCTACAAAAAAACTCTTAGAGCTTATAAACAATTTCAGTCATGTTTCAGCATACAAAATCAACATCCCCAAATCAGTAGCATTTTTATTCTCCAATAATAAACCATCAGAAAAAGAAATAAAGAAAGCAAGTGCATTTGCAATAGTCACCAAAAAAGTAAAATACCTAGGAATCAACTTAACCAACGAAGTAAAAGATCCCTACAACCAGACTAGTACAAATCACTGCTGAAAGAAATTAAATAGGCCACAAAAAGGTGGAAAGACATTCCATGCTTTTGGACTCGAAGAATTAACATTGGGGAAATGTCCATACTACCCAAAGTGATTTACAGATTTAATGCAATCCCTATCAAAATACCAATGACATTCTTCACAGAAACAGAAAAAAAACAATCCTAACATTTATATGGAACAAAAAAGGACCACTAATAGCCAAAGCAATCCGAAGCAAGAAAAATAAAGCCTGAAGCATAACACTATCTGACTTCAAATTATACTACAAAGCTATAGCAACCAAAATAGCATGGGACTGGAATAAAAACACTCAGATCAATAGAACAGAACAGAGAATCCAGAAATCAGCTCGCCTGAAGCATAACACTATCTGACTTCAAATTATACTACAAAGCTATAGCAACCAAAATAGAATGGGACTGGAATAAAAACACTCAGATCAATAGAACAGAACAGAGAATCCAGAAATCAGCTNAATAGTCACCAAAAAAGTAAAATACCTAGGAATCAACTTAACCAACGAAGTAAAAGATCCCTACAACCAGACTAGAACAAATCACTGCTGAAAGAAATTAAATAGGCCACAAAAAGGTGGAAAGACATTCCATGCTTTTGGACTCGAAGAATTAACATTGGGGAAATGTCCATACTACCCAAAGTGATTTACATATTTAATGCAATCCCTATCAAAATACCAATGACATTCTTCACAGAAACAGAAAAAAAACAATCCTAACATTTATATGGAACAAAAAAGGACCACTAATAGCCAAAGCAATCCGAAGCAAGAAAAATAAAGCCTGAAGCATAACACTATCTGACTTCAAATTATACTACAAAGCTATAGCAACCAAAATAGAATGGGACTGGAATAAAAACACTCAGATCAATAGAACAGAACAGAGAATCCAGAAATCAGCTCACAAACTTACACTCAACTGACCTTTGACAAAGGCAACAAAAACATACTTTGGCGAAGACTCCCTCTTCAATGAATGGTGCTGGGAAAACTGGACATCCATATGCAAAGGAATGAAACTAGACCCGTACCTCTTGCCATATGCCAAAATCAACTCAAAATGGATTAAAGACTTAAGGATAGGACCTGAAACTATAAAACAACTAAAAGAAAACTTAGGTGAAACACTTCAGGAAGTAGAACTGGGCAAAGACTTTATCAATAAGACCCCAAAAGCACAAGCAACAACAACAAAATAAACAAATGAGATTATATCAAACTAAAAAGCTTCTGCACAGCAAAGTAAACAATCAACAGAATAAAAAGACAACCTACAGAATGGGAGAAAATATTGGTAAACTATATATCCAACAAGGGATTAATATCCAGAATATATAAGGAACTCAAACAACTTCACAGTAAAAAAACAAAGAATACAATTAAAAAATGGGTAAAGGAGCTGAATAGACATTTTTCAAAGGAAGACATACAAATGCTCAACAGGTACATGAAAAAATGCTCAACATCACTAATCAAATCATCAGGGAAATGAAAATCAAAACCTCACTGAGATACCATCTCACCCCAGTGAGACTTGCTATTATCAAAAAGACTGAGAACAACAAATGCTGGTGAGGACATGGATAAAGAACTCTTTTATACCGTTGGTAGGACTGTGACTTAATACAGCCATTATGAATAACAGAAAGAAAGAAGGCAAGAAAGCAAGCAAGCAAGAAACAAAGACCACCATATTATGGTGAACTTTCAGAAGGAAAGAACAGACCTATGGTTACTAGAGGAGCAAAGGAGGAGTCAGAAGGGGTTAGGGAGAAATTGGGTAAGGGACACAAAAAATAATTATGATGTGTTATAATGAACATGCTAATAATATTGATTTGATCATCACATATTGTACACAAATACTGACAGTCAACATGGTACCCTAAAAATATGTATGACCAATTATATTTCAATTAAAAAACAAAATAAAATGAAATGAAATACCAGCAGTGGGAGGTGGAACAATATTAAATCTTCCAATCCATGAACAAAGGATGTCTTTCCATTTACTTAGGTCTTTAATTTCTTTCAATACTATTTTGTAATTTTCAATGTATAAGGCTTGTATTAATGTTAAATTTATTCCTAAATATTTTATTCTTTTTGATGCTACTGTAAATGGAATTGTTTTCTCAATTTCATTTTCAATTTGTTCATTGCTCATTAATAGAACTACAACTGATTTTTGATACTGATTTTATTAACCATTTTTAATAAAACCTTCTTGTTATAATTTCAAACATATCAGAACCAATTTATAAAGAAAAAGAAATAACTTGAAACTTCAATCAAATCTTTACTTCAAATATTATGTTAAATTGAAATGCAGTTTTTATATCCAACTATTATTTGTCAACTAAAAATAAAATTTAAAAAAAATTTTAAATAAAAAAATGTATCTGAATGCTGACTACATACTAATTATTCTTTAGGCACTAATTAAAGCTAAAGTGTTGCTTAGCAACCAATGCTGAACAAGCAAAATAATACCAGCAAAATACTATTTTTAAAGATATAACACACTTTTTTTGGTTTTTTATAGATTATATTTACCTCAAAGCCAAGTCTATCCTTTTCTTTCCAAAAACAAAAATGTGTTACTTTCTTATCCCAGAATTCATCTGGCTTCACTACACAAACCAGGGATACCTCGGCTGGAACGACATTCTATAAATACAGAAAAAGAATTACAAATTATACATGTAAAATAAATAATTTACTAAATTTATAAATTACTGTATAGTCATAATTAGGCCAAGTAGGAGAACTTTGGGTAATAATCTAAAAAATAAATTAGAAGAATTCTCCAAATTTCAAAACATACATGGCAATAAAGAAATACTTGAAAGACAAGCTGATTCAGAAAAGATTTCAAATAAACCATGTAATATAGATAGTACATGTGAATTAGTTTTTGTTTAATGAATCTCTCTACTAGGAATATGTTTAGATTAAACTGTAAATCTTAATTTTTAGTTTAGAAATTATTAAATTTGGTTTTTCTATGATATGAAAATAATTTTTCTAACACAATCATCTTGGAGAATTTCCTCAAAAGATGTAAAATCAATTTTCTCACAAAATAAGTTTGTCATCAGCCAACATACAAAGAGTCCAAGATTCTGCATAATAATCATTAACTTGAAGAGGAGGACAAAGAGCTAATCTTGACAAATACAATTTCACATTTACTAGATATGGTTATTTATAATACCTAAAGAAGAATGAAAATTAACATTTGAGTTAGTAAATATTTCATGTATATTTTATCAGCATGTCCCATAGAGTCTAACTTCAAAATATATCCTAAATCTAGCCATTTCCACCACTTGCGTTGCTAGCATCACTAAAGTAGCCATTCTGGAATATCCTCATGACAGGCTTCCTGCTTGACATTCTCTTGTGCTCAGGAGAAAATTTAATCCTCTTACCAAGGCCTATAAGGCCCTCCATGCACGCTCAGGCCCCTGAAGACCTCTCAGACCTCATCTCATACCTCTCCCTTCCTCGCTCACTCCTCTCCTACAGCCACCTTCTTGTGCTCTGGAATATAACAAGCCTGTTTCCACCTCAGGACTTTGCCCATACCGCTTCCTCTGTCTGGAAAGTTCTTTGTCTTATACCTAGGAGTGCTCCCTCAGTTTATTTAAGATTCTATTCAAGTATCCCCTCTTCAGAGAGGCCTTCCCTGTCCACCCTATCTAAAGTGATACCATCTGACTCAGCCTCTTTTTACTGCTGTATTTTTCTTCATAGCATTTATCACCACCTGATATGACATTTATTAATGTGCTTAATTGCTTACTGTCTGATTCAAGTAGAACATAAGCTTCATAACGGCAGGTATCTTAACTGTCATGTCATCCCTGTATTTCCAGTGCCCATGACAGTGTCTGACATACAGAACATACTCTATAAATATTTGTTAAATAAATGAATCCTCATTAACTAGCATATCTCATTCTCCCAATTTTAGAGAAGAGTAATTCAAACTTCAGAGAACTAAAGTAACTTGCATAAGATAACAGAGTTAAAAAATCATGGAGCTAAAGAAAAAAAAAAAATAGAACTAGAGCTAGAATAGAAAACAGGTCTGCCTGATTCTGAAGTTCTACCACATCATTTCATAGTTCTAGACCAGAGGTGAGTAAATTCTTTCTAAAAGGTCCACCAGACAATAAATATTTTAGGCATTGCAGGCCATACAGTTTCAGCTGCATGACTTAATTCTGTCAAAGTAGTGTGAAAGTAGCAATAGGCAACATGTACATGGATAGGCATGGGTGAGTTCCAATAAAACTCTATTTATAAACTCAAGGGCCCAAACTCTGTTCTAGACCATAAATGGTGGCACAAAATAATAAGAATTGTCATTGTTATTACCATTATTTTTAGGGTAAAATAGAAAAACTTTCAATGTAAGTATGTCTTTGGGCACATCAGAAATCTAAGACCCCCCGAGATGCATGGGTTGTGACTAAGTAAGTAAAATAAATTCAGTGGTGTCAAAACTTTTATCCAAGGGGCTGGAAAATTTAGGGTAGATCTGAGAGTCATTCATATATTGACTTGTGGAAAATTATTTAAAAATCATTGAATATGAAAACTGTGAGAAACAGCGAAACCAAGCCTCTCATTATACAAAACACTAGTTATAGGCAGAGCCAGCACTAGGGTCTGGGCTACCAAACAACAGGTATCTTTTGAGATAAAAGCAACGAGTGACTTTGTATGTAGAAACTGTTTGACTACGAGAAAACAGGCCATTGCAACTTCTGAAAATGTTAACTACCAATAAATCCAAAAGTTGTTAAAATACCTATCAGAAAAGTAATTGCAAGAAGGGATTAAATCATCCATTGATTGTTCTTCAAAACTGCCACTGATCAAAGTCCAGTTCAAACAGCAAGTCCCAAACAGCTCATCTGTGACACAGTTGAATGACAGGATGAAAGGAAGAGCACAGGTCATAATGAATGGATTTCTCACCTAATAGTTATTTTAACAACGTTTAAAGAAGGAGTTAATCTTCAAGGTTTGGAACATAAAAGTGCTGGAAACATAATTGACAGAAAAAGTTATTATGTATTACCAGTCAATGTTCCCTTAAAAATTGATCCTCAAGAGGCTTTCTCCTTTCTAACCCAAAAGAGTGATTCTAATGATGGAAAGTTTAGATCAAACATTTAAAAAGAATGAGGCAATGGGTAGATGATTTGTGGACTACCTCAGATATGTGCCACTGGTAAACATATTATTTATAATGGATACAGCCAAAGCCTGGGACTTAGACTGCCAAGTTCCAATTTTAAGTTATTTAAAATTCTTGAGCTTCAGTTGACCTTTAGGGATAATAGAATCTACTTTGCAAGGTTGTATTGGCAAGGCCAAAATTAAATGACATAACTTATATTGTAAGTTTAGCACAGCACCTGAACAATTTTATGCACTAACTAAAACCTAAAATTACTACTTTGTTCCCACTCCTCAAATCTCTTTTTCCCAATTATCTTAAATAAATAATAAAACATAATCATTTTATTAAATTTTGAAATTATATTCCTTTCCACAGAACTCTAAAGCAGCTACCAATTATTTCTCAAATTCATTAAAAAGTCTTGATCTTACTTTCAATATCACTGACATTCACCTAAATGAACGCTCACTATCCCGTGTTAACTGCCAAATCGTATTTGCCCCAGCTTTCATCATATTTGCTTCATTTTTTAGTTATAACTAAGTCAGAGTCCCTGCCAGAAATGCCTTTTCACTTTCTTTCGCTTAAATTAGATATTCTCTTTTATTTAACTCAAATTTTATCTTCTCTAGAAGCTTTTCTAAGGAAAGCCAGGTACATGAGAGCAATCTTCCCCTTTCATTCAATCAAATACTTTCTTTTTCCATTTTGAATGATAATCTCTTCAATAACCTTGTTTACTGGGTATGTACTTCACGTCTGGGATCACAGAAGCATTCCATGTGGAGCACAAGGAAATATAAAGCACTAGACTGGGATCAGATCCCATAGACCTGGTAATCGTAGGAGTTTACTGAATGCTAATTTGCGAGCTGCTTAAGTCCCAAGGACACAGATGTTAAGTAAATTTCTTCTGGGCTATAAATAAATAATAACATCATCATGAATCCTGATACTTCTTGAAGGAAAGAGAGGACTAGAAGGGACAGACATACCAGAATGGCCTGGGAAGCTTTTTCAGACTAAACTTACCCGGTCCTACTCCCTACCTATATACCAGAACAGAGTGGGGAGGACGACACTGGCATCACAGCAGGCAGAAGCTCCTGTGGGTCCGATAATGTCTAACCTCGCACTTTTCGAATCATTGGTCTTGCTTAAATTACTTAAACATGACATATTATTTTCAATTATTTTATAAACCTTTGGAGTAGAGTTGAGATTTATTTTACTACTTAAATTCGAACCTACATAAATTGAATTTAAACAATCCGGTAGTGATATATGCATTTTCAGTACTAACTCATGGCTAAGAGCCTGGCCACAGTGCAAAAATGAAACGCGTTTGCCATTTTCACCATGATCGGTTCTTGTAAAATAAAAACCATTTCCTGATAGACAAAAACATAATTACCTGTAGCATTAAGACTACTGTTTTCACCACATTCCACTGTGATTTTCTGCCATCCACAATCACGGTAAATCCTCTAGCCTTACACTTTTCACTGAAACAAAACATTACAAAGTATTAAAACAAACTCCAAATTTTATTCTACATAATTCTAAATAAAGAAGGCTTAAAGCTTAATTGTATATGGAGTAGAATTAATCTTTTGGTTTGGTTTACTTTGTGAATAAATAAAATCAGAGTATTTTTTCAGTTTTCTCAAGCAATTTATTTTTCTTATCTCAGGAAATTTTAACAATTTACAAGCTAATTTGGCAAGAAAATTACTCTAAACACATGGAAAGTTAATGTCTTAAAAAAGGAAGAAATCGAAGCAATACTCAAGCACTCCCACTAGCCTCTCAATTTCTTCATCTGTAAAATGGGATCACAGTGAAGTAGGTAATGATTGCCACGTGCATTATGTACTTCTTGTCTTTTGGTCCTGCCAGAGGTATAAGATTTGTCAAGTGATAGTTTTAAGCAAACTATCACTTATAAATAAAGCAAGCTATTATTAAACCATTGGAAATGGGCTTTTTGGTGTTCTTTTGGGGAAATTTAATGAGGTGAAGTAGCACTTGCTGTACATAATGATCCAAAGCTTGAATACACCATGTCCAACCTACCTCTGCTCTCACTTTCACATTCTCAGTCACTTAACTAGCAAAATGATATCTTCAGTGCTGGAAAACTGTTATTGCTATATTATATGCAATTATTCAAGTACTTACTAAACACTTCCCAGAAGTCTACCCTAGTAAAATGCAGCTTCTGTATGGGAAATCGCCATTTTAAAGACCAAAACTATATAGCTATCATTATTAGTATTATTGTTTTACTTATTGACTTAATGCAAGGGTTTCAATTGCCCTGCCTCCAATACAGTGAAAGGAATTGCAGCTTTTCTTAGCAGAGTAAGTACTTGGTAGTGAAAGCTTTCACCACCCAAAGTTCTCCCAATTATATACATTATAGAAAAGGTAAACAACAGACCTTTTCCAGGGATTTAAACCCAACAGTCCAGAGAACTTTACTAGTCCTCCCCTACTCCCTCCAAGCATTCACGTTAGTCCCAAGAAGGTTTTTGGAGAAGTCATGTCCAGTTCTATTGAGAAACAGTAAGACCACAAGAATGAGGATGATATTGCTAAATCTGGAGGGGGAACAAGGCTCCTCTGCAGGCAGTGACAGAAACTGACCTTCCAAAGTAAATAGGAAGGTCACATAAGTGTTCACAGCAGCATAATTCATAATAGGCAAAGAGTAGAAACAATCCAAATGTCCATCAACTGATGAGTGGAAAAACAAAATGTGGCACAGCCACAGAATGAAATATTATTCAGCCATAAAAAAGAAGGAAGTACTGATTCATGCTACAACACAGATAAACCTTGAAAACATTATGCTAAGCAAAAGAAGCCAGACACAAAAGACCACATATTGTATGATTCCATTTATATAAAATGTTCAGAACAGGCAAACCCACAGAGACAGAAAGCAGATTAGTGGTTGTCAGGGGCTGGTGGGAGGGGAGAATGGAAAGTGACTGCTAATAGGTCCAGGGTTTCTCTTGGGCTGATGAAAATGCATTGAAATTGGGTGGTGTGACAGTTGTACAACCCTGTGAATATACCAAAAACTACTGAACTGTATACTTTAAAAGGGTGATTTTTGTAATATGTGAATTATATATCAATAAAAATTTTAAGTACTCTCTTTTTGGATTTGCACTACAAAATAAAATATTCATTAAGTATTCTTTGAAAAAAAAAGATGAGGCTATACAGTGAGCATTTCTGGGTTAGCAACAGCTTGAAAAGACTTGTGGAGAGAAGCAAATCTGACACCTCATTACTATTTACTAGAGGGAATTCCTAGTGTTTCCCATCAATAAGACATCTAGAAAGACCGCTGTGAGTTAGAGAGGATACAGCCAGGAGAGATCAGCCTGGGCAGGACAGCTGGCTATTGAGTGGTCTTCGGGGCTCTAGCAATGCATTACAGAAGTCTTCAGGCAGGGGAACTAAGACATAGAGCTATCGAATGGAGGCCTTCCCACCAAGACAAGGGTGACATTCCCATAATTTGGTACATTCTTGTCACCAACATCTACATCTCTGAGACACAGGTTACACAACCATTTATTAAATTTTACACAAACATTTATATTTCAAAGCACACTATAAATTAATCTGTGCATTAAGACTAAGAAAGTAATGAAACTTGCAAATACCATCTAGTGATCTTAAAGGAATAAAATACTTTAAATTATCTTTTAGAGTACTTAAAAACATCCTTAGTAATAATTTTCTCACAGTTTACTTACACAATGGAAATATACACAATCTAAGCATATTCTAAAATTACAAGATCAAGTGGTCTTTCAAGTACAGATGCTCCTCAACATATGATGGGATTAGTCCCAATAAACCCATTGTAATTTGAAAAAATCACATATCAAAAATGCATTTAATACACCTAATCTACTGAATATCATAGCTTACTTAGCCTAGCCTACCTTACATATGCTCAGAACACTTACATTAGCCTACGGTTGGGCAAAATCATCTAACACAAAGCAAATTTTATAATAAGTGTTTAATATCTCACAATTTATTGAATATAGTACATTGTATAGTATCAGTTGTTTACCCCTCGTGACTGCATGGCTGACTGGGAGCTGCCCAGCATCACAAGAAAGTATCATACTGCATATCACTAGCCCAGGAAAAGATCAAAATTCAAAATGCAAAGCATCATTTCTCTGAATGCGTACCTCTTTTCGCATCACCGTAAACTCAAAAAATCATAATTCAAAGCATCCTAAGTCGGGGACCATTTGTACTTGAAATAGTTTTTTTTAACTTCATTCCTACAAGTGTAGTGATAGTTTAAACTGCTTTTAACAACATACTTAGTTAGAAGCATGCCTTTATAAAGGGCATGTTGGAGGACCTTAAGTGCTATTATTAATAAATTACTATACTGCTGTTAACATGTTTATAAAGTCATGTGCCACATAATGACGTTTCAGTCAATGATGAACCACATATACTACAGTGGTCCCATAAAATTATAATGGAGCTGATATAATTATATTTCCTATTGCCTAGTGATGTCCTAGTGCAATTATTTTTTTATAAATTTAGTATAGCCTAAGTGTACAGTATTTATAAAGTCTACAGTAGTGTACAGTCATGTCCTAGACCTTCACATTACTCACCACTCACTCACTGACTCACTCAGAGAAACTTCCAATCCTGCAAGGTCCCCATGGTAAGTGCCCAATATAGGAGTACTATTTTTTATCTTTTATACCATATTTTTTTACTGTATCTTTTCTATGTTTAGATAAACAAATATTTACCATTGTGTTACAATTGCCTACAGCATTCAGTATAGTAATAAGCTGTAGCTGTACAGGTTATAACCTAGGTGTAATAGGCTATGCCATTCAGGCTTGTGTAAGTGCACTCTATGACGTTCACAGGATGAAATCACCTTATGCATTTCTCAGAATGTATCCCTGTCGTTAAGTGACACAACTGAATTATATTCTAAGAACAGTAACAAAAAAATATCTAAGGCCCCGCCTCCTTGTTCCTACTCCATTAGAGCCTTTCAAGGGTGCCCTGGCTGAGATAATGTGAAACAGGCAAGGCTCCTTAACAAGTTCATTCACTTTTGACTTAGAAAGGGATTGTCACAGATTTCCTAGGGTTAATATCCTGTAGCTCTTCACTAATTTCTTTGATTACAACTAAGGGCACTTTCTCTTCCACTTATAGAGTTCTGCTTACACTTACATAAGGCACTAATTTCACTTGGGCTTTTATTTATAATTACTTATTTACAATTCATCTTCATTAGATAACATGTTTCCAAAATGTGAGAATATTATCTTATTAAAATCTTGGCAGCTTCTACCACAGTGCTTTAAATACATAGGGCCTTTAAAAGCGTTAGACGATGCAAACACAACAATGGCTTTTCCTTCCCATTCAAAATTGAAGTCCTTATCATGGCCTACATGGTCCTCTGTGATCTGACCACTCTGCCAGCATTCTGCCTCTCGCTCAAACTGCTCCAGTCACACTAGCCTCCTTGCTGTTCTCACCTGCTAAATCTGCTCCTGCCTCAGGGCCTTTGCACCTACTGCTGTGCCCCTGTCTTTAATACTCTTTCACCAGATTATCTACAGGGCCTGCCCCTCACTCCGATCATCTCTGGTAAAATGTTACCTTATCATTTTGTAAAATATCACCATACATCCCCTTCCCACTACATCAATCTCCTGACTCTTCATGCTTTGTTTTCATAGTACTTGTGAATATTCCACATACTGTGTACTTATTTGGAATATTTGTCTGACCATTAGTAAGTAAGGTTCATAAGGGCAGGTACTGGATCTGCTTTGTTCACCCATTTGCTCAGCATCTAGAACAATGAAGACCTCATTATAGGCTCTCACATATTTACTGAGTGACTGAAGATTTATGACCTTAATGTCTGTGATTTTTAGCAAGTCATTAAACCTCTTCCTTCTGATGTTTCTTTTATATCATAAACAAGTTTTTCTACAATTAGAAAAAACTGACAAAATCAAAGCTTGAATTAAAAAAATTTTAAAAAACAAAATGAGAGAAATGAAAAGACAGCTTCAACAGATGTTGAATTTCTAATCAAGAAAAATCTGGGCAAGAATTTTGCAGCATTTCTATAAAGAAAGAGGATTTAAGTATTGGTAGGGTGGTTTGACTAGATGGTTGTTAAGGTACTTTCCAACCCGGACAGTCCATGGTTCTATAACTGGAAGATCAATCAGTTCCCTTTGAACTAGAAAATACCATGTTTTTAAATATATGCTGAATACAAGGGTATTTCAAAAAGTTCATGGAAAAAAAGAATTAAAAGGTAATATGAATCTTTTCATAAAATTTTTGAAGTACCCTCATATACTGTTAAAAAATGTTAAAACAAAGAAAAAATATTTAAGATTTGTTTTATAATACTGTATTCACCAGAGTGATTTTCATATGTCAGTTGTCAGTTGTG